TTTAATCATTGATGTCAATTTATAAGTTCACAACAAGTGATAAATTAATTTAAATTTTTTTTTATTGTATTCCGACTTATGAATCTTAGTAAGACATACAATTAATTACAGTTTCAAACATTTATAACTTCTGTCTAGAAATAGTAATATGTATTTGCAATTTGCAATTACAACTTTATCTTATCTTAAAAAAATTAACTGGACAACGTAGGGTTTGACCTAAGTAAGGAGGACTAACAAATCGACCTAATTTAAAAAAGTGCGTCGTCGTCTCATAGCTCCCAAAGGTCAGCTGGCCTACCTAGGTACATCAAGACCAAAAATAAGGCCGCCCGCATTTCTATTTCTACTTCTACCGGACGCCCACTTAATTCCATTAAGTCGATAACTTGAGGAACTAGAAGTGCTCGTGCAACTACTATAAACAGTCTCTCAATATATCCAAGGCATATAATTAAATTTTAAAATTTAAAAGAATTTAAATATAATTTTATTATTAAATTAATTATAAAGGAAATATTTATTAAAGAAACAATTTTATCATTTTGGGACCAAAACTGGGTTCAAATCATGGAAATTACAAATAGAGCAAATTGGATTGAAATAGTCTCATAACTAATTTTTTATAAGTTGTTATTTATTTTCACAACACTCATAAACTTCTAAAAGGAATTATTTTCTTATTTTATTTCACCTTCCATAGTCTATCTCTACTGTAACGTAACTCTTTAAAAAAAGGACTTTAACGATGCTCCTAAAGCTATCCTATATCAAATGCTCAACTCCAATACTTATTCATATACAAGACTGACAACATTGATTGACTTATTAGTTAGTTGATTTTTCAAAGACAAATGTTGCTTTCAGTTACAACCATAAAAAATGAAAACCGACAGTGAAAATTACATAACATTTTATTGTTTATTTCCTCACCTGATTTCCACTAGAACTTCATGACTCTAAGACCCAATCATCTCTTGTTTAGCATTAACGTTTGTACATTTCTATCTTTTTTTCCTCTATAAACATTATTCATATCTAATTAAGTCCAAAACTTGCATTAACAATTATAGATCTCTATTAACATTATTCATCTTTAATTGAGTCTAAAAAACTTCTAAATTAGTTTAATGAAGCTGTTTTAAAGTATAATTTCTTTAAAATTAAACCATCAAAGTAAGAATCTTACATATCCATTATAAATTATTTCTTAGACTTTTAACCTCGAAATCGAAGTGTGACAAATATGATAAAAGGCAAGTGGTATCAACCATTAACTAGACGGTTGTTTACATAACTCTGGTCGGTGAATCATTTAGAATGCAATAAATGAGTTTGAGAGAAAGTTTAGGGTTGTGTAATAACTTGGAGCAATAATTAATTATTAACCAACGTATAGTGTAAGCTAATTAACTTCATGGTTAATAATCTGCTGAAGTAAAGAACAAAGGCAAGAAGCATCGGAAGGAAAAGCAGAAAGATATTTACGTAGGAACATGACATATATGAAAAGTAAAGAATTTGCGAGGGAAGTTGCCAATATTTCTATTTGTTTCTCCTGAAAATAAACCTTATTAAAATTTCTCTCATCATAGTCCACGTCTTCACGTATTTTCAAGACTATAGAGAAAACATAAAGTGATGCAAACAGTGATAAATATAAATAAATATTTTTTTTATAATGGATGCACATGTATTAGTAATATATTTCTAATAGAATCAACACAAATAAACTTTTAGGCTGAACGGAATCAGTAAAATAAATAATTATTTAAAAAAAATTCAGATTTCATGGTGGAAACTTGCCCGCTGGCATACAAGGGTGGATCCACCATGAGATAGAAAAGAAAAAATATATAATGACAAAAAATTATCCAATGTTTGATTAAATTGTCAGTTGAATTTTTTTAGAATATTTTGGCTCCCAACGTTTTATTTTGAGACAAAAAGGCTCCTCCTTGAATGAAAATCGTTAGTCAATAAACTGTAACACTTCAAAATAAGAGCTTTTTACCCTAAAATAAAATATTGAAGATCTAAAAACTCTAAAAAGATAATAAATAAAATGAATATTTAATTAAATTTTAAAAATATTTTTATCTTAAAATAAAAAAATGGCAAAATACATAACCCTAAAGAGCTTACCTTTTCCTTAGTCGCTCTCTCCTTTGTCTTCCTTTCCCCCTTTTTCTTATTTGAGCTTTTTACCCTAAAATAAAATAATGGCAAAATACATAACCCTAAAGAGCTTACATTTTCCTTAGTCGCTCTCTCCTTTGTCTTCCTTTCCCCCTTTTTCTTATTTGAGCTTTTTACCCTAAAATAAAATATTGAAGATCTAAAAACTCTAAAAAGATAATAAATAAAATGAATATTTAATTAAATTTTAAAAATATTTTTATCTTAAAATAAAAAAAATGTCAAAATACATAACCCTAAAGAGCTTACCTTTTCCTTAGTCGCTGTCTCCTTTGTCTTTCTTTCCCCCTTTTTCTTATTTGAGTTTGTATTGGTTTTCATAGATCATATCAACTTTTTCTTTTTTGATTTTCTTTAGCCGCGACGACACCAGCTTTGATGTTGGTTGCCGACCATCGTTTCTCTTTTCTTTTTGTTTTTTTAATAAGAATAATTATGCCCATGTTGCACGTTTATCTATGCTTGTGTTGCACGTTTATATATGTCTTTGTGACACGTTTATCTTTGCCTTTGTGGCACGTTTTTCAATTTTTTTTGGTCATTTTTCCATTATTTTATTTATGTTTTCTCAGGATTGGATTTGACGATGCCACGACTGATCAAGATGTCGCTTATTCGAAATCTTGTTGATCTTCCCTGGTATGGACCTTTATATTGAATTTGGATGTGTGATTTTAAGTTTGTGGATAGTTTCTCACGATGCTCGTCTCTGATATGTAGTTCTTGGTAGTCTTTCAATAGCTTAATTCCCTTTTGTAGTCCGTTTATCGATACAATCATATTTATTCGTATATATTTTTTTCAAGTCTCTTGGTTGAGTTTTTAAACTTTTCCATGTATGGTCCTTATATGATATAAAGTGGCTAGTTTCAATGTTATAGGAAAAATAAAAAATTATATATTTAGTTTACGATGATAATTGTAAACACTGTGAGAAAGGTGCCATCGGCGGTAAGATACGAAGAACGACCGATGGCTAGAGTATAAGAAGGAGGAGTTGAGGAAAGAAAATATACTGAGTGTATTAATGAAAAGGGTTCTTCAACCCATTACAAATGATACTTATATAACACCACTCAAACAAGCTTAACAACTTTGATCCAACAGACTAACCAACTTTTAACAAACCCAGTTAGTTTTGAGTAACTCAATACCAACTAATTACATTTTATTATATTATATTTCTAACATTCTTCCTGTTTTTTCTTCTTCATCATCTTGAAAAACAAACAAAACAAAACAAATAACATGGCATCCAAAAGAAAATATTGTCTTCTTATTCTTCTTCTTCTTTCTTCATTCATCATTCTGTCATCGAGAATCGAAAGTGTTATGCCTCTTTTCGTTCTACTAGAATCGAAAGTGATATGCCTCTTTTCGTTCTACTAGAATCGAAAGTGCTATACCTCTTTTCGTTCTACTCTAATCAAAAGTGTGATGCTTTCTTCTGTTATACATTAGACGAGAATCGAAAGTGTGATCCTTCCTTCCGTTCTACTTTAGATGAGAATTGAAAGTGCTATGCCTCCTTTCGTTCAACTTGAATCGAAAGTGCAATGCTTCATTTCGTTCTTCTTATTCACCTTCATTTCTTTCTTTTTCATTCTCTTATAGAAGGTTCCTTGACATGTTTTCTCATGGACACTTGGTTGTGAGGCTTTCAAGTCCCATGACACTTTAAGATAGAAGCAATCCAATGGCAGCAAGAAATTGAACTCCGGACAAACTCTAAATGTAAACAAACCATTAAAAAAAAACTCTATCAACACTAACAACTACTAATACAACTCCAAACATAGGACACGAATCACCAATGCAAATAAAAATCTGGATCCATTGTTAAAGCACAACTAAGGTTCTAGGAATGACTAGCAACATACAAAAACATGCATTAATAGTAAAGGGAACAAACAGTGGCGCATGTGAGACTTGCGATTGTGGAAACCAATCATCGATGAGTGAAGCAACTACAAGACCGCCAGAAATAAGCAGCAGCGTCAATTTCAATCAGATCAAAAAAGATTGACAGTAATAACGAATGAAAGTACCAACGACAGACGAGACTCTGATATGATTCAGTTTAACGATCGAGAGTATTGGTGATGATACTATATAGAGCAACGTTTGACGAACGGAACGGTAGTAACGTCAGGATCTTTAGGTCAAAAAACTAAAAGACGGGTGTGTAAAAGTAATAAATCACAATAGAGCGAAAGAAAAATAGTTTCAGGATCTTAGGCGAATGATACCATGTGAGAAATATGCCATCGGCGGTAAGATACGAAGAACGACCGGTGGCTAGAGTATAAGGATGAGGAGTTGAGGAAAGGAAATATACTGAGTGTATTAATGAAAAGGGTTCTTCAACCCATTACAAACGGTACTTATATAGCACCACTCAAATAAGCTTAACAACTTTGATCCAACATACTAACCAACTTTTAACAAACTCATTTAGTTTTGACTAACTCAATATCAACTAATTACATTTTATTATATTATATTTCTAACAAACTCTTATTGTAATATTGAATATTTTTACTTTTTAATAATACTAGGGGCTTCTATTAAAAAAATGTCAAAATACTAAGAAAAACAAAAATCAAAATAATTAGTTAATTAAACGTTTTAAGATTTTTTTTGCTAACGTTATATATAAATAAAACCCAAACGTAGCCCAACATAGCCCATAATCCAGTGGGTACACATCACCCACTTACCTTGTCTTTTATGACTTTGGTCTACCCCACAAGGACCCACTCAACTGAGCTCATTAAGCAAGGGATAAAGTGGAAAGAGGATGAGGTGCAAACTCGTTTTATATGGTGGAGAGTGGATCAACAAGCACTAGAGTCGACTGCTTTTCCTAATGGCAACTCCGGTGAAAGTGCACGGCCCCCCATTGTCCACCGCAGTATCTAGAGTCCTTGCTTGTCTCATCGAGAAAGATGTTCCATTCCAACATGTCCCCGTTAACATGGCCAAAGGCGAGCACAAAAGCCCCGATTTTCTCAAGATTCAGGTCCATCCCATTCATTTTCTGCTTCCTCTTATTTAACTAAACCCATTTACGTTCACTGAGTTCTCGGTTTTTTTTTTCTCAAACAGCCCTTTGGTCAAGTGCCGGCTTTCCAAGATGAAGCCATATCCCTTTTCGGTAACCATTCTCAACTTACATTTCTTGTTTTACTGTAATTCCACCCGGCTTTGGCCGCACTAGGTCAATCGAATCGAGTTTGAATATTGTCAAAGTTGAATTTGATTGGATTGAAAATCTCGTGAATTTAAAATTATCAAGATTGACTTGAAATTAGAATAAAAAATTAAAACTCAACCTGAGTTTAAAAAACCTTAAGCTCGTATCTCGTTTGAATCTCGAATTCAAACTAAAAAAATAAGGTATAAATGTTAATATTATTAATAATATAATTAAAAAAATTAATAAATATAATTTAATTTTAACTAAATCAAATTCGAGTAATTTGCGAATAGCTAAAATCTTTGGTTTTGGGATTGTAGAGTCGAGGGCAATTTGCAGGTACGTATGTGAAAAGTATGCAGAGAATGGGAACAAATGGCTGTACGGAACCAACCCATTGGCGAAAGCTTCTATAGATCAATGGGTGGAGGCCGAAGGGCAGAGCTTTAACCCGCCAAGCTCAGTTCTGGTGTTCCAACTAGCGTTTGCACCACGTATGAACCTTAAGCAAGACCAATCCCTGATCAGCCAAAATGAGGCTAAGCTGGAAAAAGTGCTGGAGGTTTACGAGAAGAGGCTGGGAGAAAGTCGGTTTTTGGCGGGCGATGACTTCTCTTTAGCCGATCTTTCGCACTTGCCCAACGCTCATTATCTGGCGAATGTTGCTGATAGGGGAGAGATGTTCACTTCCAAGAAGAATGTGGGGAGGTGGTGGGGTGAGATTTCGAGCCGTGATTCTTGGAAGAAGGTTGTTGAGATGCAGAAGCAGAGCACTTAGAGCCATGGGTTTTTCCTTACACTGTTGCCTTACTGAATTTCAATTAAGACTAGTAGAGGAACTTGCTATATTTGGATCTTTTAATTTTACTCTTGGATTTCCCTGGTGTTCTTGTCCAATCAAATCCTGTCAGTTGGTTTTGAGAATAAAAGATATGATTAATGATATCCTTTACCAGAGATTGTTTCTTCGGCGTTTTTACCCAAAAAATTCCTAAAGAATCAATAATTATCTGTCTAAGTACCAATTGGTCAAATTTTACTGATATTTTGTTGATATAGACGGAAGGTGTGGATCACTAAACGTGTCTTCTTTGAGTTTTTCGTTCGAGTTGACGTCATATGGGCAAAGCTCGAATCACCATCCGCACCTTCGTTGGAAAAATTGACACGCGACAGAAGGTGCATAATACTATTCGCGCTTCACATTGAATTATTGGGTACTCTATTATTACTCAAGCCTTAAAGTTTGGCGTCTCACTCATCTCCTCCTCTATAAATATCCCCGAATACAAACATCAAATCACACTAAAATTACTTTCACATTATTCCTTCTATTAAGCTATGTAGATTTTATTATAGTTATTAAAAATAAAATTATTTTTATTATATTATATTTATTTTATATTTAATTATTTGATCAAATATTTTTGTACTAACTATTTTTTATTATTTTTCGCGGTTGTAAAATAGAAGACGAGATCAAATCTCAAGACATTTTGGTGATACATTAACAATATTAAATTGTGCTATTTAATTTAATGTGAATTTTTTAAATTTTTTAGCATTAGTTTATAATTTAATTCGTATACTATTTATTTAATTAGATATATTTTAACTATTGTTTTTTCAGATATAAGACTCTAAATCTTTCAAACTTTGAAGGATACCTCCAAGATACTCCTCACGCAAGGAATGTCAATCACCGTCAGTCACATCAGAAATGACATTTCTATCTACCGAAAGCCCCAAATATAAATAAACATCCTCTAGCGCAATAGTGCACTCCCTACACAGTATATGAAATGTGTGTCTATGGTCTCCACCTCTCAACTAGTGCAGAAATAAAGTTGGATTCATGGTTACAATGCCCTTCATATATAGCTATGTAACCTAATCAAACCTCGGCTAAATACGGCCATCACGATTTAGTATCTCTAACTTAGCGTTACGAATAAATTGATCTAATATACGATTATTCCCCTAATTAAATAAATAGTATACAAATTAAAATAAAAACTAATACTAAAAAATAAAACATTCAAAATAATTAACATACATAATTTAAAATTATTACCATATCTACAAAATGAATCGAGATATTATTAATATTTAAGCGCAACAACCCACCGATAATTTTATAACTATAAAACATTAAAAAAATTAGCACATCAAAATATAATAAAATAATACACTATTTAATCATTATAATATAATAAAAAAATTACCTTCTAAAAACAATAACAGAACCCACTTGTTAGAATGAATGATAAAAGTAAGAATGAGTGTTTTTTTGGTGAATCGCTCCTTCCGTCGGGTGTCAATTTTCCTCATGAAGGCGTAGATGGTGATCTGTGTTTTTCCCACGTGGTGCTAGTTCAGATGAAAACCCAAAAAAGGCGCGTTTGATGATCTGCACCTTCCGTTCATGTCAGTAAATTAGTTTTAGATAAGTAAAATTTGATCCATAAGTGCCTGAGAGGTAATTATTATTTTTTGGGTGCTTTTTGGGTAAAAACGCTTGTTTCTTCCTTTTATCTCCTATCATTATTATTGTATTGAGCAAGAAGTGGAGCGCAGAATAATTAAGGGTGCAAGTTTCCTAAAATAAAAGCAGCAACTTTTATGAGATTGGATCACCAAATGCCAAATCCTAATTCATATGAAACCAATTGAATTTTTCACCTTTAAATGCTAAAGTAAGTGTACGACACCTAGAGAATTGGAGCGGGGGGAGGAAGAGAACGTGATGGGATCACAACGTGAAGAAAGCCAAGTTACTTTCGACCCTTGCACTCACTCCTTGACTATCCAATCCAATCCTCATCGATGTCCCTGAAAAACCGACTTTGTCCGATGTCCATAACTTCATCAGCCTTGCCATGCGCATCTCTATCCTCAAATTAGACGGGTCCTTCTTTGGTACTTGATATTACCATGATACCATCTGCATCTCTCTCAGCTAAGCATTTAGATAAACACATACTTCGCATCGCATTTGAAGGTTAGGAATTCAGCTTATATGGGTCGTTTAAGATGGATTATCGACACATTTCATGGTTTTAGGTTAAGTCAAAATCCATCGTTTGAGGTTCTTTCAGCCATTCCGCAAGACAATTCTGGATCTCCATGAGACATGGGAAATGGCAATCAAAACTTGGAACTATAATTGTTGACTTTACCTCCGAAGGGAACCCTTCCAGAAATTCTGGAAGGCCAAGGTCAAGCCAAGGCCTAAAAGGGGTTTTGGAAATAGTTTTCAACCAGAGCAATTGACGCTCCTCAGTTAGAACTTCATGAGCTGCGTCATTGCCCCAAGCACAAAGATGCTTTTATCTATTTCTCCCCTTTCCTTTTTTATATAAGCTATCAACCCCTACCGTATTGTTTGCTCCTAATGTGGGGTTGCTTAATATTCATCCATTTTCTTTCTTGCTCTCTCCTTTAACAACATACAGATTGTGCATCATGTGGTTGCTAACCTTATTAATCCTCGGGATTCAAACAAACACGTCTTTAAGCTTCGACGCTATGTAGAAGTTGAAAATTGGGAGATGAAAAAAGTAGGTTGGTTATTGTTCACACCAACTCATACATCAAAATCCAGGCCCTAGATTCATTCCCGTTTTATTTGAGTCACTTAGTCTTTAGAACTATGGTAAAGTACACATATGATAATTTGATTATAGGACACTGCTTTGTTGAGTCATCAGACTATTAAAAGTTATAAAATGATCGTCTGATTATTTATATGTTTTAAACTTGTCTTGTTCATTTAGAAAATGATGGTCATCTATGTTGGACATTAACATGCTGATTGATATGTGATGAAATTATATTTTAATGATGTCTGTTGGCATCGTCGTTGCTTTCATGCTTTGACTCAAAGATATAATGCTTCAAGCACTAGCTTGACGATATAATGCAAGCAGAGAGTCGACCCATAAAATACAGCTCAAACGGTTCTGAGATCATATTTTATCATATCCTAGTCAGGATAATATATAGCTCAGAAGATTTATTTTGTAACTTTTAATAGTAGGGATACTCAACAAAGTAGTGTCATATAATCGGTAACCATTTGTGTACTTTATCTAAAAAAAAATTAACTCTATTAATTTCAAATTAATTTAATTAAAAAATTTAAAAAAGAATTTGATTAATCAGTTGCCTAAAGGGATTAACTCTATCAAAGTTCAAATAAAGATGAGAGATTGGACGTCATATAATCCCTATAGTCAATTTTCAAAAAAAAAATATAATCCCTTTAGGCAACTAATCCTGTAAAATCCTACTTATCCTGGAAAATCTGTAAAAACGAAACGGAAGACCAATCATGCTCAGATAGAAGTTGATATTCCCTCAATTGCTCTGCTAAATTCGATCGCGTTATCATCCCTTGCCTTCTCCTTTCTCCGCCTCTTGACTTATGATTTTGTTTGGCTTTTGAATGTTGAAAGAAAACACAAAAAACTGGTTTAAAATAAAGTTTAATGACTAAGCGTGTAATTACCCACAAAAAGCTAATTCTTCAACCTTAAATTCGAAACAAGAACATCGAATGCAAATCATGGAATTGGGGTATACCTATAAGATGAGAGATTGGACGTCCAATCATGCTTAAAGGGATAAGTAGGATTAGTTGCCTAAAGGGATTATATAATCATGGAATTGTGTTCTTTATTTGAACTTTGATCGAGGCGTTACAGATTTTCCAGGATAAGTAGGATTTTACAGGATCAGTTCCTACAGGGATTATATATATATATATATATATATTTTGAAAATTGAGTAAAGGGATTAGTTCTAGCTTCTCGGGTGTAATCTTTTAAGAAAAAAAATAATTTTGTTTCTCTATTGATTTCATTTTGTCAATTTACAGATACAATTACTAGTAACGGGAAAAATGCTTGAAAGATTCTCGTTGTTTTTATATTATCTTTTGCAAAATACAATTGAAATTTCACGTGGTCACAGAAATCAAAACAGACTCTGGATTTTCATAAACTGCTACTTAGTAACTTATGATGCGTATTAGACCTCAAAATAAAAACAAAAGACTGTTTGAAATTGTTGATTCATCTTAATTTTCATCTGAAATTAGATCACTCAGCGGCTGAAAGCAGCCTGTCGGTGGGGACGGGGCATATTTAAAAATTTCCTTCTATGGACATTTGGTTAATGCTGTATGCCAACAATTTTAAGCTTAACTGTTAATACTTGCTATAGCAGAATGCTTGTCAAACTTCTGGGAATTGGAGATCTACAGAAGTTGAAAATAATAACCAGTTGGTGTTTTGAGATTTCGTATTACTTATTCATTGTTAAAAACTGAATATGAAGCAATGAATATAACTGTTTTATTATATTCTTTCTGCAACTACATCACTAGCTTATATAGGGATCTTATTTACTTCAAGCTCACTCAACCTCACAACTAACTATAACCTCTAACAGCATTCATAACAACCTTTTCATACACTCCTAACAACACTAACAATCCTAACAACTCACACACACATCAGCAAACCACACTCCATGCACACATTAGCATTCTACACACTCCAATATTCCCCCTACTCTTTTCCTTCTCTTTGAGCAAATGAGAAAACCTGCACTTTGGGTCGAAATTGCTCAAACGAAGATTTGGACAATGATTTAGTAAACCATCCGTTCTAGTTGAATCAAAAGTGCGGTGCCTCCTTTTGTTCGACTTGAATCGAAAGTGCGATGTTTCCTTCCGTTCGACTTGAATCGAAAGTGTGATGCTTCCTTCCGTTTGACTTGAATCAAAAGTGCCAATGCTTCCTTCCGTTCAACTTGAATCGAAAGTGCGATTCCCCCTTCCGTTTGACTTAAATCGATGAAAACTTTTGGTGTGAATGAACATTAAAAAAAATCTAAAAAAAACTATTCTATAACAACAATATGAAACAAACCAGACACCAGCAACATCATTGAAACATTTGGTCCGCATCACCATAGAGTAAGTTTTACACAGCTCCCTTGCGGCCAAAATGCCCTGCTCTACCAATTCTATGCAAGTAAATCTCACAACCAGGCTCCATACGGTTGTCATGTTTCATAGGAAGATCATAGTTGATGACCAAATTAACCTGTTGCTGATCAAAACCTCGGGCAAGAAGATCCGTTGAAATGAAAACTTGAGTCAAACCATCTTTAAACTCTTTGATTATCTTGTCTCGGTCAGCTTGATTGAGAGCACCTTGAATTGTGGTAACATCATAACCAAGCTCAACAAGTGATCTATGCAATGTACTAGCACTGTTCTTTGTGCGTATAAATATTATTGTCTGCCCTAGGCGTTCTCCAAATTCAGAAATCCTTTCTTCGATCACCATAACCTTGGAAAGTTCATCTGGAACATTCACCTTGTACTGCTTCACCGACTCCAATGATAGTTCTTCATTCTTGACAAAATGTTTATTATGATCTGTCTTGACGATCTTTGATACAAAATTCTTTACAGCCTCACTAAATATCGTAGAGAACAAGAGAACCTGGCAGTGAGAACTCATATGGCAGAGAACAAGAGAACCTGATGTGTACGATGTATATTATGATGTAACGACTTTGATAGTGGAGTCCTCGGGTTCATCGAGGAACTTGTTGATCTTTTTATTCTCTTCGATTGTTAGGTTTTCAACTCCCAACTCTGTCTCACTTTTTTTCTCCGATGTTGAGGAAGCGCTCGGTTCTTCTGGAGCATCATCTTCCAAATCGGCCCATCGAACAGGCGCCTTGACGGTCTTTTTGGTTTCTTGAGTCATTGGTTCCTCGACAGAGGTGGTGGTCGAAGTGGCGTAGTTAGCGAAGGTTTCAGCCATGAAGTTGTAGAAATTAATGGAACAAACGGAAAGTTGTAGAATCCATGGCAACTGAGTCAGCAGTTTGCTGACTACACCCATTGTGCACCATAAGTGAAAAACCAGAGAGAAAGAAAGTTTAGAAGCGTGAAACCAAAATTCCCAGAACTTAAGCGAAAGATACCATGTTGAAAACTGAATATGAAGCAGTAAATATAACTGTTTTATTATATTCTTTCTGCAACTACATCACTAGCTTATACAGGGATCTTATTTACTTCAAGCTCACTCAACCTCACAACTAACTGTAACCTCTAACAGCATTCATAACAACCTTTCCATACACTCTTAACAACACTAACAATCCTAACAACTCATACACACATCAGCAAATCACACTCCATGCACACATTAGCATTCTATACACTCCAATGTTCATGAATCGTGGTGCTTTGATATGTTGGTACTAGGTAATTAGGCCTAGTTTCAACAAGTTTGACATGTTTATAAGATTATGGTTTAGATTTATAAATTATTTGACATTGTGTGTAGACAATAGTTTTATGATCCATTTAATTATCATTTTCATTATTATTATTTTATTATTAATAATATTAGTATTATATTATCATTAATAAATTACAAATACATATTACAAGCCCATTACAAGACCGAAGTCCATTTATAAATCAATCCTGGAGGCCTAAACCCGGAGGCCCAAAACTGGATCAACCCAGGTCCAGATCCGATCCAGACTCTACCTGGTCCAAGACCAGACGACCCGAACCCTTCTAGGGTTTCCTCAAGCTTCCAACCGCTCCACGACACCTCCACTGCCAGGTGCCTCAGCCACCTTCTACCACCCTCTCCAGAAGCCTCCAAAAAGCTTGATGGCCGCCCACATCGATGCCTTATGGTGAGTCCCCACTATAGTTCGGTGACTCACCGAAAGGTACCATTTTTACCGAGACCGAAGGGAGCTTCGTGGTGGGCTATAAAAGCCTCGCCGAACTTGTAAAACAAAAAAAAAAAGCAACCGTACACACAACAAGCAAACAACCACCAACAGAAAGCAAGACCCCACAGCAGCCAAATACCAAATCAAAAGAAGAAAAAAAAGAAAGAAACTTACCAAAGAAACGATGCTTACGTTGGAGGTCTTCAAAGGTCACCGGAAACCAAAACGTCGAAGGTAAAATATCCTAGATCTAGGAAATTTTAGAAGTTTTTAGGAAAAAATAAGGCCGGATTCAGATTTAAGGCTTCGAGATATTCGATTTGGTGTGTTTTAGCATTTTTCGGCTGCCATGAATAGTGATCGGCGGTGGCTGACTCTCCCTCCGGTGAGGGAGTTTAGAGAGAGTTTAGCAATTTTGGGCTATTTAAGGCCTATTTATACCCTCATCAATACCCTCATCAAAACTAAGTCGTTTTGGGGAGGGACTTTTGCGTAATTTCATAAATGCACAAATCATTTCTGTGGTCCCTTATATTTGTAATC